GTTCTCTACTATATAAATGTGGTATTCATTGTCGTGTTCACTGGAGAGTGCTTATTGAAGATGGTCTCGCTCCGGCACTACTTTTTCATGAATGGCTGGAATATATTTGATTTCATCGTTGTTATTCTGTCAATCATCGGTATGACTCACATCTATTTACAGTTTATCTCTGACAAGTTTTTAATATAGCAGTAATCTGTCATTCAGTGTTTAATCATTTCATTTCTTTCTTTAGGTTTGTTTCTCTCTAAAATAATAGAAAAATACTTTCTTTCACCAACCTTGTTCAGAGTCATCCGACTGGCACGGATTGGCCGCGTCCTCCGCCTTGTTAAAAGAGCCAAAAGAATCCGCACACTCTTGTTTGCCTTGATGATGTCACTTCCTGCCTTGTTCAACATTGGTCTCTTGCTGTTCTTGGTGATGTTCATCTATGCCATCATTGGCATGTCAAACTTTGCATATGTCAAGAAGGAAAAAGGTATTGATGATCTTTTCAATTTTGAGACTTTTGCGAACAGCATGATCTGTCTGTTCCAAATCACCACCTCAGGTGGCTGGGATGCCCTACTACATCCCATTCTCAACACAAATGGAGATGACTGTGACCCTGAGATGGAGAATCCTGGTAGTACTTTTAAAGGAAACTGTGGGAATCCTGCAGTGGGAATTACCTTCTTTGTGAGCTATATCATTATCTCTTTCCTTATTGTGGTGAATATGTACATTGCAGTCATCCTGGAAAACTTTGGTGTAGCTACTGAAGAGAGCGCTGACCCACTGAGTGAGGATGATTTTGAAATTTTTTATGAGGTCTGGGAAAGGTTTGATCCTCATGCAACACAGTTCATTGAGTATAAAAAGCTTTCAGAATTTGCAGATAATCTGGAACCACCATTGCGCATAGCCAAGCCTAACAAGTTTGACCTGATCTCTATGGACTTACCCATGGTGAGTGGTGACCGCATTCACTGCCTAGACATCCTGTTTGCATTCACAAAGCGTGTTCTAGGCGAGGGTGGAGAAATGGACATTCTAAAGGAGCAAATGGAAGAGCGCTTCATGGCTTCGAATCTTTCAAAGGTGTCCTACGAACCCATCAGTACCACCATCCGGCGCAGACAGGAGGCTGTTTCAGTTGTTGTGATCCAGAGAGCATTTCGGAAGTATGTACGGGAAAGTCTAAGAAAAGACACAAGACTCCATGAGACATCAAGTAATAACAATTAAAAGGATGAAAAGCTCATTAACATGGAAAAGGATGACACAGATAAACTTTAAGAAAAACTTCCAGTGCCGATAAAAGCAAACTGACACTTTCTGCGGCCTCTCAGCGTTCATGTAGAAATAGAAATAGAAAATAGAAATAACAAATAGAAAAAACAAATATGAAAAAGACAAAAGTGAAAAGGAATTTGTGAACAAAGACGTCAAAGAACAAGATATATAAAAGGAAATCTGTGCTACACCAAAGACACTGTAGTGAATGCAAAATGTTTACAACCTTTTACAGTGATCATGATATCCACTGGAGTCTCTTTTTTAATATGGATATCTGCTATTTCAAACTGACTGTAATTTTTTTTATCTTAGAGAATAGACAAGTATCATTTAGGCTATAGTATGACTCGCTTGGAAGGATTAAGGAGCAAGGATCCCTTATGTCTGCTAAGGATGGGCATCATTACTTAAAGTGTTATGAAACGCATATAAGTTAATCCTTTAACTTGTATTGAAGCTAATTTTGCTATCTGGTGTCTTTAATTCACTAGCTGTGACCTGACTAACCTAAATGGATCCTGACTTAGGTCTGACAGCATTCCCAATAGATAATTGCAGATGGCAGAGCAACAGTTAAGGCTAAGGCTTGGGGAAGGCCTCAGAGAAGAATGGTGGCTTTCCAGCCAGGCATTTCCCAATGTAATAATGAGAGACGCATGATGATGATGCACTACAAACTGCTTGTAGTGCAGGGCATATATAGTTGTATACAGAGAACTAGAAGGGGAGTGTTTGTCCCCACTTCAAAATGCAGATAAATTATCTCCAATTCACTAGCTGGGACTGCATCCTCATTTAGATATGACAGCATTTCTAGTGGAAATCAATTGAGGCTGCTGCTTGGGGAAGGCCCCAGAAGAGACTGGCTG